TCACAGTTGTTCTCACCTAGGGAATTATTTGTGGGCTGCGGTTTTCTTTGACTGAACTCTGTAACAAGCTGTGGAGAATGTTGTTACACAAAGACGGTAGACACTTCAAAGCCTGCCTTGCTCCTTTAGCTCTGACTAACATTAGAAAATAACATGTCTCCCAAGTCCAAAACAAGCAACACACATTTTGCTGATTTGAAACCTCAGAGCAGTTTCACAGTAGACTGAATGTTTCTGTAAATGGATCATAAGTTAAAAACTTTACAGAGATACACAAGGTCAGAGTAACAGATCTCTAACCAAGGTTATTAATGCTAAGCAGCCTAAAACACTATGCCAATTCTAAGCAAGGTTATTAACACAAAATTACTGAAGATAAGATACCAGTTCTTTGCTTGCCAAGTCTGCTGATAAAGAGTTATGTCCCAGAGTTAGTCATTCTGGGTACTGTACCCTCCCTAAGGTGCTGAAAACTTTAAACCTTGTGTTGCCATGGTAAATGGCTCAGCTCCTTATCGCTTACCCTAGGAATGGGCTTTTGACCAATGAGAGATAACTTGTAATTTTTATTATTGGTTCAAGTCTCCTGTAAGGGAAGAATTTTGAGGCTAGATGAGGAGAAGCAGGAGAATAAGAACAGAGAATTAGGACTCAGAAATTAGAGACAATTAGGAGAACTAGCATTAAAGAAGAATAAAAGAAAATGACCCACAGATGGTGTGTGAAATTAGTATATAGAAACTTTTCTTTCCATTGCTACTGAGAAGCATTTCTCTTCTGGAACCCTGGGTAGGGACTAGGAGCAGGTGTCTTAGTTGCTACAGGCAAAGTTATTAAATGCAGCTGAAAAGTCCAGGTGTACTACACTGCCATGCCAGATTGGACACAAAGCTGGCATTGCACAACAGACAATATATGGCACATCTTCAGAAGGAAGAGTCCTTACTATAAAGACCTTTTCATTGGTGCAGCTGAACAAATGATCACCAGGTGCATGTATCTCAAGGGAGAACACAGGAAACCTGAAGAAGGCAAGTCTACATGATGCCTTCTAAAGAACAACGCAATTCTAGCCACAGATCCAGAAGTTCATTACATTAATTAAATTCCTAGCAAAGAATTCTAAGCAAAGATTATAAGGTGATAATAATTCAAAAATATACAATGGATATGTTCATAAATCATATTTCAAATCGCCCTTCCTCAAGGGACCACATATCACTACAGGGCTGGGTTGTTATGTCATGATACTTAGCTGGTGTTACTTTTAAAGTCTGAAAGATGGGAGAAGGGAAGCTGACTTGTTAATAAAGTAACACCAATAATCTTAGAAGGAAGAACTGGAACACATGCCCACACTCTGACTCTGAAGTTGTTTGTCCAGTGATGCACTTGAGGGGCTCCCTGAGTGAAGTAAACATCTCAGGGTGAACATGTTCAAGAGCAAACTCCTGACACGGCCTGTAGATTTGACATGAAGCTCATTTCCTCTTGCAGATGCTGGTGTCCTATGCCGAGAAGGGTCTGAACCCCCACATCAAGTCTGATCCTTCGGGAAATTGTATAGGCTCCACTTTAGCCTGTATCCAAATATGACCTTTCCTGCTTTCTCTCCTGTCACTGTCCAGTGCAAGTCACTCTCTCTCATTTGCTGACATGCAACAATCTTCTTCTATCTGTCCCGGAGAGTCAGTGTTCAACCATTACATGCAAAGTCAGTTCTAAACACTTGCCAGGCCATGGTGCTTCTCCATTTGAAGCTTGTACTGCCTTCCACTCACCTGGAGTGAAAGCTTGGTCCATGAATACGGTAGGCTCCTCTTAGAGTTTTGCCATGTGCCACTTGGGGTAAAGTCCATCCTCTAGAATCCTGGGCCACATGCCACATGCTCAAATTTTCTTTTTGTCTTGACTCAAATTTCCTCTTTTCAGTGATGTCCAAACACACCCCCTGCTTTCAATCTCTAACTCCCCAAATAGCCTTCTTATTTCTTTGGATAATTGGACATATTTTCATATATCACCTTTTAAAATAACAGTTTCATGTTTTTTTTCTTAATTGTTGTCGTGTTCCCCTGTAGAGTCTAAGCTCCACATGGGTGACCATTCTGCCACTTGTATTCCCCAGTACAGCATGTGTTCCTACAACAGCATGTAGCTCATAGTCAGTATCCCCAAACTCTTCCCTGCTTATGATTCGCTCAGTGTGACATCTTCCCACTTCGCTGAAACACATTTTAAACTGGTAGTTTATTAGAAATAGAATCCCATGACTTCAGTCAGACAGCATCCAAGCAACAGCTCTGGACATCACCATTAGGGCTTATTGTGCTTCTGCCTCTTTTTCTGTGTGTATGGCAATGTATTAAGAGCAGATCATCCACATGAGACAGACCTGTGGAGTGCTTTGCACAGTATCTGAGACATGGTGAGTGTTCTTGACTTTGAAGTATAATTTTTCAGTTGATTTGCTGAGCCATGGTGCCTTCCCTGACACTGGATGATATGCATGGTGTCATGGAGCTAGATCTGGCTCTGGATATGGATGGGCAACTGGGTATATTTATAGCTTGCTAAATTATCTTCCTATTGATTTGAAAAATACCTGGGATCAGCAGCTCAAAAGACGAAATATTTCTAATGTGTAATGGGTTAGTGTTGCTCATCTCCACCTTACCATCTAAATATTCAGTCATCTCTCGCAGTAGTGCCTTTATCTGTGGATGACAGCTTTAACACACGAATTTGTGCTAGACATCTTCCAAACACTGAAGTAAATTCCTGAGACAAATCAACCAATAAAAACAGAAGTTGAACTAAACACCACAGTTTAGAAATTTCAGTCTTTTGACTGCTTTGTTGAATTGGAGCCTGTAGGAAGACAGCAGTATAGCAAACATGCATAAAATACTAAGAAAAAGACAAAGCAAAGACACACAAATCTGTGACATAAAGGGTAAGATATATTACCCTTTAATATTATAATGTTTATTGATGTTTATCATGTTTATCGATGTTGTCCTTGTTTGGATAACATTATGTGAACTTAGCAATTTGTTATTTACATATTTAGGAATGGGTGTGTGTGTGTGTGTGTGTGTGTGTGTGTGTGTGTGTGTGTGTGTATGTGTATGTATGTGTGTGTGTGTGTGTGTGTGTGTGAGGGGGGTGACATTTAAAGAAACAGAGACCATGAATTAAGGGAAAGAGAGCAGAGAAAAGAGATGCAATTGATTTAATTATGTATTAATTTACGAAAATAAAAAAGAAAAAGTTTCATGAAGTGATAAAATCATCAGAACTCATACCTTAGTGATAGTATCAGGTGCAATGAAAATGTGATAAGGACATTTTTAAAACTTCAACTTCTATGACATTAGATAACATAACACCTAATTAAAGTGTGGAGCCTGAGGGCTGATAATCCCTGACTTGAGGCCATCAAATGTTTCTCATGGACAAAGAAGAAACTGAGGATAAACAGCCTTGGGGATTCATAAGAATGGACCACGCAGAGCGTCAATATTCCTGCTTACCAAGAGAATAATGAAAACAAAGTTCCCTAGAGAAGATCAAGAAGAACAGGAATGTGTGACTACATATAATTGAAAGGACCAAGAAGACTCCATAACAGGCTACTTGGTCTTTTCTCAGAGATCAGGGCTCAATTTCAGTTTCCTGAGACTTGAGCAAGCAGTTTCTGGAAGGATTATGACATAGTCCTTGCAGTAGCTCCCTTTCTGCACAAACTCTCATTGCTCAAGGGTCAGCCAGTTGTTTATTGTCTGGGAACCCTCACCAACCCACCAACATGGGTCAATGTGAACATTCAAGGCTAACCAGCCTCCATGGCAGCTCAAGGACAGAACCTGGGACTTGTCCAGGCCTGCCCCAAAATGATAATTGTAACCCCCAACCAGTAAATTTAAAGGTTATATACCCTCACCCAATCATATGACTCTAAGGCTTGTACCACCCTGCTTGTGACTTTTCCCTTTAAAAACCTTTTACCCTGAGAGCTCAGGGTTGCCCTTCTCCACCCACTCTGTGAGATGTTGGATGCGGACCATGCCCAGGTTTCCTTGTTATCAATAAATCCCTTTGTGTTTTGCATCAGATATTGGCTCTGTGGTGGTCTTTCTTGGGGTCTCGCGATGTGGCTACAACATTGTAGATGAATTGTTTATTTTCTACATATTAAAGCCATAACTCAGTACGGGGGTCTTTCAAGAGTTAGATGTCAATTAATATAATTCAGGTGGATCTTAATCCAGTGTGACTGGATTCGTTTAAAGAAAACGAGAAGATCCACACAGACAGGATGAGGTAAGATCATGTGTATGAAGACAGATCAAGAAGGCACAGTTTACAACAGGAGAGACATCACAGAAGAAAGCAGCTCAGTAGATGTCTTGATCACTCGATTCCAGCTTCCAGAACTGTGAGGAAATGAATGTCTATGGTTTTGGCCTCCAGCCTGGGGTACATTGCCATGTTACCCCTAGCAACAGAACACAGCCACTGGTAAGACAAAATAATAGTACAGCCTCTTAAAGAAGCAACACTCAGTGAGAAGACTGAGGTCAGATGAGGAAAAACTGGAGGACAGAATGAGGAAACTAAGTGAGAAGGGATGGTGGCTGAGCCTCACCAGAGACACTTCCCTCATGGCCCTGTCACTGGCCTGCATGTCAGCCTCTCTCTCAGGCAGTGAGCAGAGAGTGCTGAGCTTGGAGCCAGGCCATCAGCTGCTTTGGAACTGACTCATTGACTCATTGTCTCTGATGTGCCTCAGAGTTACAGTGATAAGTGTGATTCTACGGGAAGAAATTTTGTCCATGTCTGGACTCACAGAGCAGCACTTATGACTTTGCCTATAGAAACCAAACTATATTGTAAACTTCTCTCCTGTGGCAGTTTGGTGGTTACCTGGAGTCCTTGACTTTCATTAGCAGCTGTGGCCAGTGGCAGGGAGATGCTCCAACTCCTAGGATACTCACCTGTGAGTCCCAGCAGTAGGGTCAGCAGTAGGATACTCTGCGGAATGTGGGGCCAAGCGTCCAGGTCGAGCATGGTGAGAGTGAAGCAGCTTGCTCAGTGCAGTGTCTGTGCTGGTGAGATCCCCGGATCTGATCTGCAGAGAAAAACAGCGCTGTGGCTTAACCTGCCTAAAGAACATGTCAGTGATATGATGAAACAGGAAACATACTGATTATTTTGAAATAGAGACACAGTGTTACAGGCAGCTGCAAGGGAGAGGTAATTTACCATGCATTTTAGAGGGACTCAGATATGCACAGGAAAAAAATAATCCTTTCTCTTCTCTGGAACCTATATTAGATCCACTTGGTCTCAAGACATCTTATCTCAGTAACTCATCAATTGGAATCCAGGACACAACCATGTTTTATAACACACCTAAGTTTAAGACCCCAGAGATTATTACTTTGCAGCCTATCCTGTCCCAGCCTCATCTAAGTGTTCTCAGTTAAACCCATTAGATGTGTATAAAAACAGCTCAGTGCTGGAGTAAATCAGCTGTCCTATTGGAATGACCCCTTGGGAGTCCACTGCTAGCCTGGTAGATGTAGTCCAAGTGAAGCTAAAAAGTCTGTTCACTTACACAAACCAAGTAGAATCTGTTAATGGTTAGTAGT